ATCCAGTAAATTTAGTTATAATACCAAACCGTTTTTAAATATGTTACAGCTACATAGTTGATAAAATTGAAAATTATATGCTATGTTTGGTATCATATATGGCCAAGTTAAAACGTGCTGCTACTGTTCTGACATATTAAAATTATAGGGTATCTGCTTTTCTCTGAATGTGTCGTAGTGCTGCCTTTATTGGTCGCTATTTCAAAAACGATAATTTTTTAAAAATTTGAAAATAATCAACAAGAGGGCGTAAAATGATTTTTTGTTATTTCATACTTTCCGCAACTCATTCCAAGTTTAATGGACGTACAGTATATATGTATGTCTAAGAGAAAAAGATGTTTGATAAATTATCTAGTAAATTTTGTTGAAAAACCAAACCATTTTTAAATATATTACGTCTGCATTGTTTATAAAATTTTAAATACACGCTATGTTTGGTATTATATTTGGCCAAGTCAAAACGTGCTGCTACTGTTCTTACATAATGAAATCAAATCTATAAGGTGTCGGCTTTTCTCCGAATGTGTCGTAGTGCTGCCTTTATTGACGGTTTTAGAGAAATCGCTCTTTTAAAAACGATAATTTTGTGAAATTTGTTAAAGAATCCACAAGAGGGCCTAAATTTTTTTTTTGATATTTTAGACTTTCCTCAACTTATTCTAAGTTTAATGAAGTTCATTATTGTTGTGTGACAAGGAAAAAAATATCTTCTTTGATGAACTATCCAGTAAATTTAGTTGAAATACAAAATCAGTTTTAAATTTGTTATATACATTGTGCATAAAATTGAAAATTATACGCTATGTTTAGTATTATATATGGCCAAGTCAAAACGTACTGCTACTGTTCTGAGATAATGAAATCAAATTTATAAGGTATCTGCTTTTCTCCGAATGTGTCGTAGTGCTGCCTTTATTGGCGGTTTTTGAGAAATCGCCCTTTCAAAAACGATATTTTTTTGAAATTCCGAAAAAAATCCACAAGAGGACGTAAAATAATTTTTTTGGTATTTTAAGATTTGCCACTTATTCCAAGTTTAATGAACGTACAGTTTTGATGTATGACCAAGAGAGAAAAGTATTTGATGAATTATCCAGTAAATTTAGTTGAAATACCAAACCGTTTTCAAATATGTTACATCTACATAGTTGATAAAATTGAAAATTATATGCTATGTTTGGTATCATATATGGCCAAGTTAAAACGTGCTGCTACTGTTCTGACATATTAAAATTGAAGTTATAGGGTATCTGCTTTCTCCAAATGTGTCGTAGTGCTGCCTTTATTGGCGGTTTTTGAGAAATCGCTATTTCAAAAACGATAATTTTTTAAAAATTTGAAAAATAATCAAAAAGAAGGCGTAAAATAATTTTTTGTTATTTCATACTTTCCGCAACTCATTCCAAGTTTAATGGACGTACAGTATATATGTATGTCTGAGAGAAAAAGATGTTTGATAAATTATCTACTAAATTTTGTTGAAAAACCAAACCATTTTTAAATATGTTACGTCTGCATTGTTTATAAAATTTTGAATACACGCTATGTTTGGTATTATATTTGGCCAAGTCAAAACGTGCTGCTACTGTTCTGACATAATGAAATCAAATCTATAAGGTATATGCTTTTCTCCGAATGTGTCGTAGTGCTGCCTTTATTGGCGGTTTTTGAGAAATCGCTCTTTCAAAAACGATAATTTTGTGAAATTTGTTAAAGAATCCACAAGAGAGCGTAAATTTTTTTTGGTATTTTAGACTTTCCTCAACTTATTCTAAGTTTAATGAAGTGCATTATTGTTGTGTGACAAAGAGAAAAATATCTTCTTTGATGAACTATCCAGTAAATTTAGTTGAAATACAAAATCAGTTTTAAATTTGTTGTATATACATTGTGCATAAAATTAAAAATTATACGCTATGTTTAGTATTATATATCGCCTAGTCAAAACGTGCTGAGACAGTTCTGACATAATGAAATCGAATCTTTGCGGTTTCTACTTTTCACCAATGGTGTTGCAAATTGCAATGCTGCCTTTATTGGAGGTTTTCATGAAACGACCGTCTTAAACGACGAAAATTCAGTCATTTTTAAACAACTCTCAAAATGGTATAAAAAATTTTTATGCACTGTACCAGTCGCTTTAGCTTGTTTACTATATATTAACAATACGAGTAGTGTAGTTAATGATTGTTTTGCTTTATTTGCCATTGTAAAACTAATCAAAATATACACTTTCTTTTAAAAATCATTGGGAACATTTAATTTTACGCGTGGGTATTTTCTGCGATTCTGTCAGTCACAATTTCGTGTTTTGCTGCTAGCTTCACAGAGGTCACAAGCGCTTATAACGTTTCCAATGCAAGTCCTCACTTGTGTTATAGTCACTTTGGCTCGTGGTAGGAGGCTGGGAGCTGCCACGAAGTGGTAAGAACTGTGACTCGGCGCAGATGCCATTTCAGGAGATCGTACCTGTACTTTGACAAGCTAACGCTAACGTACGTTACCCTATTATCGCCACTCGCCAATTTTCACCACACGCCTTCAGAATCGCCCTGCTGCAGTCGCACTTTCAGATAGCGCTGAATATGAGTTGTTTTCGGATTGCGACGTCATAAGTGATAAATATTAAACATATTTTGTCAACCGGTGGCGTAAAGACATGTCAATAAAAACATACATTTTTGTAAAATGTGAAAATCAGCTGATATCACGCTCGGCCAACTTTTTGGGAGGGCGGTAATTACTAATTAGCAGCCCAAAATAGCGCGACAGTGTTTATTTATTTTAGTTTTTGTCAGTCAGTGTTAGATCGACGTTGAATCAAGTTTGAAATGGGAAGTGCTTGTAAATATCGTGCTGTTGTTAATTATTGTATCCGCAGGGTGGCGATAATAGGATAAGAAAAAATTTGGCTCGCCAAAAGGGAGAACTGGAAAAATCGTGAAAAAAACAAAACAGCAATGCTCAATAATGTGAGGACAAACACTAAAAAGAAGTGTTATCAAATCTTTCACAGTAACGGTAATCTCATTTAATAAAAAAAACTTTCGCTGGCCGCCAGATCGCCTAAATGTGATCGCAGAACCACCATGCTACGATGCGCATTTTTTAATTTTGATGACGTCATCATATAAAATTTCGAAGTGAAAAACAAATTTCCTAGGGCGTACATAAATGTTTGAAATAAATAAAAGTAATAACCTTCTAGCAGCAGCAACACTCTTCAATCATTGAAAATTTCATAGCAAATGATTATGTATTTAAAGAGAAAAGCTATTGAAAAAAAAGTTTGACATGAGTGGCGATAATAGGACAATCGTAGTTCCTATTATCACCATACCCACATTTCCACCATTTCGTGAGGTGTCGCTATAGCAAATCCATTTCGCGACTCGCTGCTGTTGGCATTTTGGGTCTAGTATAGTTTAGTACCACAAGTACTTCCGGTGGGCGTAGCACAACGAATTTTGCATATGCTATTCCTAACCCCCACCTGATTATGCCATCCAAAAATTACGTCACTACGACGTCACCACACGTCATAGGGATTGCCAGAGTATAATTACGATCGCCCGAAATGACATCTGCGCCGCTGATAACGAACTTGCTAAAGCCGGCGATCTCTCTCCTATAGTGATCGTTGTGACGAGAAAACGAGAGAAATTGCTTGCTCGATTTCGGGTGATCGTCTGCGCGTTTTGGACGACCATCCGCATAATTCGGTGGGCCTTATTACGCCACTGTGACGTCGAAATGACGTAATTTTTCGGTGACGTAGTCAGGTGGGGGTTAGGATTGACATATGCAAAAATTGTTGAGCCAGGTCAACTAGAAGTACATGTGGTACTAAACTATACCAGACCCGGCATTTTTTCCTCCGATCGGTAGCTAATGTTCAGAGACAATATAGAGAAATTATAACCAGAAGTAGATAGACTTCGGATGGATTGTAATAAAAAGTGGCGATAATAGGGTAACGTACGTTATATGAAGCGATTGTGATGTACGGTAATCTTTGCAGTGAGGTAGTCAGATGGGCTGACGGACAACTCGACTACACGGACAACTCACCAGAGACAACTCGACTACCTGGAGACCTGGTGAGTTGTCCGTCTTTTCGCATTTTCTACGGTGGTGTTTTAGGTCTATAGAAATGCGTTTTTGATATTTTTAGAGCTCAAATGTTGAGAAAAATACATAAATATTCTCTAGAAAGCATTTTTATTTGTATAAGTGGCTTATTTTAATCATGTTGTATGAATACAAATACAGTCTACAGACGAAATTGGAGTAACGTTAGCGAAGTTAGACTGTTGACTTATAGGACTGTGTTCGTTTAATTTTATGAACTTTATTGGTATTAATGTTTTGAATGAGCACATTTGAATATATTAAAACCTTTATACTTCACAGTAACACTTAAATATTTATGAATGTGAGCTCAGTAGTCTGTGGTTGCAGTAGTCTAAACTCGCCTACGGCAGTCGCCCGTCAACTCACCAGTCGATCAAACGCTCTGCGACGTGACGTCATCGATGCTCGAGGTAAAGACAACTCGACTACCGAGCAACGAGAGTCAGACAACTCACTAGTCGAGCATTCGCTCTGCGATATAGATGCTTGAGGTAAAGACAACTCGACTACCGAGCAACCTCACTAGTCGAGCAATCGTTCTGCGATATCGATGCTCGAGGAGAAGACATTGCTTTGCAAAACGCAGACTCAATAGTTGCATAGCATTTACTTAGTGCCGACTGATATTAGTTGTAAGCCAACTTACCACGGCAAGGTTTCAGTCATAGAGTTGGAAATTCTTTTTGCAGAAAAAAACCAGGAACAGATAGGCACTGTCGCTGCGCCTGGCAAAGAAACTGGGCCGAAGAATGGATAAAAGATGTTTACTTTTTGTTACGATTAATGAATTTATTATGATATTTAAATACTAAACGTTATGGGGAAATTTAATGGATGGAAGGTTTTGTTTTCTTTTTCGTTACGAATATTGAATTTTATTTGAATACTGAACGTTATGGGAAATTTGCTGCGTTACATACTTACTCTTTGCAATACTGCGGCCCGTAGATCCTTGAACACCTCCGAAGAAGAGAGTCCACAGATAACTCTCCTTCCTTAAACTGTTCCCAAACATGTTGCACCCTCTCGTTGGCTTCCGCATGTCTGCCGTTGACACGCCCCACAACATTCTCTTCCAAAATATCCACAACGTCCGCCTCTATCCCTATACTTACCCCGTACATTGTTGAGATTAAACTGTAATTTAACTGTAATTTTTCCGAGTTATACTGTTGAAATGGCGGTGCCAACCTTCCAGATGATTGTTGATTCTTATTTCTACGTCGAATACTGACCAATCCTTGGGAGTCCAGACACTGTTGTATAACCATGTGTTTTGAAAATATTCGGCGAAGTTCTTGAGATCTTGAGTATGCATCTTTTCTTTCAGTGATTTGAACCTGGGCGTGATAAACATAGTAGGTATATAGCACAGCGCCATGACATGCTTTATCAGGTCTCTTGTTCCAGCGTCCCTAAAACAAAATAAAACATGTTAAAACAAAAAAAAACTGTGATGGAAACGACCTCGGCTAATGAGTATTTACGTTTGTAAGGTGTCAGGCCGGCGATAATGAGGCTGTAAACTCGGCGATAACCGAGCAGTAATCTCGGCGCGCGGCATCATCATCACCGATCTGGCACCTTATCTAATCTCATATCACCAATCTGGCACTGATATCCATGCACATTCCGGCGCAGGAAAATTGACTACGTCCACATCTTCAATGTAATTAACAACCTACTCACCCTTTCGTTTTCCGGTGCACGTGTGAAGAGATTCGTACTGGACTTCGAAGCCGCAACATGGCAAGCACTTCCTCCAGTATGGCCGGACGTCGAAAAGCAGGGATTCTTTTTCCACTTCACTCAGGCCATCATGAAGAATGTGCGCCACAATAATTTGGCTCGCTTATACAACAAGTGAGTGGTTAACCAAATTATATATGTCTTTGTACTTCTTCCACTTCTTTTGTTTTAACATGTTTTATTTTGTTTTAGGGACGCTGGAACAAGAGACCTGATAAAGCATGTCATTGCGCTGTGCTATATACCTACTATGTTTATCACGCCCAGGTTCAAATCACTGAAAGAAAAGATGCATACTCAAGATCTCAAGAACTTCGCCGAATATTTTCAAAACACATGGTTACACAACAGAGTCTGGACTCCCAAGGATTGATCAGTATTCGACGTAGAAATAAGAACCAACAATCATCTGGAAGGTTGGCACCGCCATTTTAACAGTATAACTCAGAAAAACATGCCTTTTTACAGTTTAATCTAAACAATGTACGAGGTAAGTATAGGGATAGAGGCGGACGTTGTGGATATTTTGGAAGAGAATGTTGTGGGGCGTGTCAACGGCAGGCATGCGGAAGCCAACGAGAGGGTGCAACATGTTTGGGAACAGTTTAAGGAAGGAGAGTTATCTGTGGACTCTCTTCTTCGGAGGTGTTCAAGGATCTACTGGCCGCAGTATTGCAAAGAGTAAGTATGTAACGCAGCAAATTTCCATAACGTTCAGTATTCAAATAAAATTCAATATTCGTAACGAAAAAGAAACAAAACCTTCCATCCATTAAATTTCCCCATAACGTTTAGTATTTAAATATCATAATAATTCATTATCGTAACAAAAAGTAAACATCTTTTATCCATTCTTCGGCCCAGTTTCTTTGCCAGGCGCAGCGACAGTGCCCTATCTGTTCCTGGTTTTCTTCTGCAAAAAGAATTTCCAACTCTATGACTGAAACCTTGCCGTGGTAAGTTGGCTTACATCTAATATCAGTCGGCACTAAGTAAATGCTACGCAACTATTGAGTCTGCGTTTTGCAAAGCAATGTCTTCTCCTCGAGCATCGATATCGCAGAGCGATTGCTCGACTAGTGAGGTTGCTCGGTAGTCGAGTTGTCTTTACCTCGAGCATCTATATCGCAGAGGCGATTGCTCGACTAGTGAGTTGTCTGACTCTCGTTGCTCGGTAGTCGAGTTGTCTTTACCTCGAGCATCGATGACGTCACGTCGCAGAGCGTTTGCTCGACTGGTGAGTTGACGGGCGACTGCCGTAGGCGAGTTTAGACTACTGCAACCACAGACTACTAAGCTCACATTCATAAATATTTAAGTGTTACTGTGAAGTATAAAGGTTTTATTATATTCAAATGTGCTCATTCAAAACATTTAATACCAATAAAGTTCAATAAAATTGAACGAACACAGTCCTATAAGTCAAACAGTCCTAACTTCGCTAACGTACTTCAATTTCGTCTGTAGACTGGTATTTGTATTCATACAACATGATTAAAATAAGCCCTTATACAAATAAAATGCTTTCTAGAGAATATTTATGTATTTTCTCAACATTTGAGCACTAAAAATATCAAAACGCATTTCTATAGACCTAAAACACACCGTAAGAAAATGCGAAAAAGACGGACAAACTCACCAGGTCTCCAGGTAGTCGAGTTGTCTCTGGTGAGTTGTCCGTGTAGTCGAGTTGTCCGCCTCCCGTCAGATGGGGTAGAAATAAAATAGCAAAAATAGTTATGACAAGCCCGCTAAGAAGTTACGGTATTGTGGTTGTGTACGGAATACACAAGACCAAAACATCAAAATCTGAAAATAGGGACAATCAAAAATTGCTGCACAGTACGGTATAATATTTACATTGCTCACAAAATTAGTTCGGAGGCACTAATTGCTGAATGATTGTTCGATATATTTGACATTGTTTACCCTCCTAATATTTATAAATTCTGAGCTGGAAAATTGGATTGACAATGAAAATGGGGTCTCGTGTAGTTTTTGTACCTAACGTACTTCTAGTAAGCGTAGCCTAAAAAAATTTTGACACGCCAATCCTGACCTCCCCTGACTACGCCATCCAAAAATTTCGTCACTACGACATCACCATCAGGTCATAGAGCTTGCCAAATACTCCTCTCACTCTTATCGGGTTCGTTGCGACGAGAAACCGAGAGAAATGGCTGTTCGATTTCGGGTTCTCGTCTGCGCGTCTTGGATGACAGTTCGCATAATTTGAAGGGCTCTATTATGTCATCATTGTGACGTCGTAGTGACGTAAGTTTTGAATGGTGTGGTCGGGGGGGGTTAGGATTGACACGTAAAAAAATTGTTATGCTACGCCCACCAGAAGTATGTTAGGTACGAAACTACATGAAACCCTGAAAATGCACTATCAGACTATTTTGTTTTTACGGCTTCCTCCACCACCAAGTCCATGCTTCCGAAAACAAACAATATAACTAATCCCATACCCGACTTGGAATGGTAACCGGACGAGAGGCCGTGGTTCGCCATATGGATAAGCCGTGTTATCGACTTTCCTCTCCCCCGGGATAAATATGTAAATCCTATCTGATCCTTATAAACATTGAAAAGCATAAGCATTTATTTCTGTATTTTGTTAGTGCAGTAGTTGTTGAGTGGGTATCAGACTTATGGTATTGGTAAATCTAGTCTAAATCATTGATAATATCAATTGTGGAAGGTCATCCATGTAAAAATTTAGAAATACTGATATTGAATAGGATATGATAAAGTTTATTTATGGTCGATTTTTTTCCCCAGAAGACAACTTGAGCATAATTTGTGTTCTATAATTTGTATTCTATAATGTATTTGACACGACTGTTATTTGAGTTTGTACTGTCATGTTGTAATTTGCCTTCGTTCTTTTTAAAAACCTAGCGGCAATCATTGTGTGGCTCGTGCACTGAACACTCCCTATTTATGGCCGATATCGCTACTTCGAAATAAAAATTGTGACTACGGGATATGGGGCAAAGGCAATTATCGGTACTATCACAAGTAGTAACTCATGAAAGTGAAAGCGCTTTGGGGCATGTATTGAAAACAAATCGAAAAAGAGTTCAATGATGCGAGGAATTCGATATCGATAAGAATAAAGCGAGTATGGATGCTTAATTAACGAAATGAGAAAAAAGTACCAATACAAACTTTTTGCCTCAGCCTATTGGGAGTTAATATTGAAAAAGCCTCTTTTTAATAAGTGCTAAAAATTTACTTCTTTGCCAAGTCGGCTTATTACTGTATTAGCAGGAAAATTGAATAATTGTTTGTCTGCTTAAATTATGTAGCCTATAGTATACCTGTATACCCGCTGTGATGAACAATAGATTATCAATTATTACCAGATATCATACTTAGTTTTATATAAATACTTATATGTTGTATTACTATTTCATTTTTTCTACAATTATTTGGAATTTAATACATGTTATGATTTTTCAACTTTGAACATTCAGCTTTTTCTTCTTTGCAGAAGTTATTGATATAAACCCTAAAAATATAAACAGTTACCCAAGAAAAACTATTCCTGGAAATAAAACTATAGATTCGAATCTTGGAGCTTGCTCCTCTTTTTGAATTATCTTCGCAATTTTTGGATAGTCTTATTCACAAATACCTTTGCAACAACTAGAGAAACGTCAACAACAGCGTTGAAGCACTGTGTGTAGGGGAGCACAGTGCCGGATATTCAATTCAACTTTGGCATTCACTGGTTATGTGGGATCGATCCAGTGAAATTTTTAACCTAAAGCATAATACATGTTGGATTGGACATCGGAGTGATTTGCCAATATCTTTTTACCAAAAATCTGCAATTCAAGCCCACGAGTTACCAAATTGGACTTCTATCTCTAATTCACTCTTAGAAAGAAACAGTGGATCAGACAATCAAACGGATAAATATCAACATTTTGTTATCCCATAATCTATATGCCCGACTGCGTCTACAAGTTCTGCTTATGGTCGTTTTCCTGGCTTTGTATGGTCGTTATTCAAGATTTGCTGCTTCTAAACCAGCTCGAGAACCATTTCAAGACTCTGACGATTCTCGATTGAGTATTATTGACAATCTACTGGAGTATCCTCTTACTCAAAAACAGCAAGCTATTCGCAAGTTTGAGACATCTTCATCAATCCGACAGAAAAATTAGCATCAGAAAATACACGCAGGTTGAATATAGTTATATGTTTGTCGTTGTATTGTGTATACCGTGAGCACTAGATTGCACCATGGAAATTTTTTATAATGAGAAATAACTGGAAAACATTGTTCTAGTTTTAATTAAATGAGATGTGATGCATTCTCCTTAAATTTTAAATATCTTCAATTTTCGTATTCTGAATTCAGAATTATATTGTTATTTGTTTAGATATTATCTGGTAACTTTCATCAAATTTAATAATTCTTTGCACAGGGGAAGTGTTTCTAGCAAAACACTAGATCACCTTTTTGTCGAATCTAAATCTGAATGAACTCAGTTTATCAGCTGTCCATGTTGCAATGGGTTTGGATGGATCTGCACAGAAAATTACTCCAAAAAAGGAGGCTTACTATCGACAGATATTCGACATTTTGGATGTTGATAATGATGGAAAAGTAGATGTTACAGAATTAAAACAAGCTTACAGTGAAATGGGTTTGTTACAAGTTCCAGGTCAGGCCGAGGTATTGATGCTTATTAATTACGATGAATAATCAATACTTTATTTTCGGCATATTTGAAAATATTTTTCATTCAAATTGCTATTGAATTTTATGACATATTTCCATACTATGAAGCAATCTTTCTGAAATTCTAAGGTTTTGATAACTGTAATAGATTTTTTTTAAATTTCCTGCAATACTTTCCGTATTTCCTACGATTTTGTGTAAGTTCAACAAGGTTTAGGGCAAGAGGACATGCTTTAATTAAGTGACTGAAATGATTTCATGTTATGATGTGGTTCACAATTTCATTAAACACATCAAAGCAACTTAGACAACCTTTTTTACCTAGAAATTCGTCACTGCCAGTGATTCTAACAAAGATGGTGAACTTGATGTTACAGAATTTGTAAAATACCTCCATGAACATGAGATGAAATTGAAGCTAATGTTCAAGAAGATTGATAGAGATAAAGATGGTAATAGTATAATAAATAATTCCATAATTTTAATAACAAACCCTTTCCATT